CAGCTGATGCACTTGATATCAGTTCATTGTTAAGAAGTTTGAACAATTCTATTTTGTTGCTAATCACTCGGAGAAACTGCTGCCAGTTGATTAGGACCCATAGCACGCTTTTCCCTGGTCTGTGCTTTTAGACTGTTGTCGAGGTATTGATCCCACACAATATCTACTTGTTAAGCCTTGTTCTGTTCTCATGTGATGTGTGGAACAAACACGTTTGCAGCGTAGTTGCCAAATGTCTTGCATCCTCCAGGTCTATAAGGATGTTCACGAGGACAGCACCATTCATGATGCTCACATCCGTACCTGGCCTTGAGTTACATGGAGACTGTATATGTTGTTCAAGACAGCCCATGAGATCTGACTTTTTCCCCAGACATAATTGTCCATATGAAGAAACGAAATGGTGGAAATTGATGATTTTCATGGCTGAAGAAATTGTCCAAATTACATTCTCTTGTCTGGCATGCAATATACAGTCTTGCAAAGAGAGATGATTCGCTTTTGAGAAGATTAACATGTGTCCCTGCTTTCTTTGACGTGTGTGCTTGCTCGTTGAACAGTACTACTTTGCTTCTGGTGATGGTTGCTGTTATTGATTTGATGTTAGCCAGAGACTACAAATGTTCCATACTGTTCTTGACCCTTTGATTGTATTGTAGTGAGGCACTCAATTGACTGCTTGTCCATGATGTCCTTTGAATGCAGTCTCAGAAGATCTTGGCTTTTTTCTTCAAACGGTCTCCCCATGCTCTCAATTACTCTGACCAGTGTATCGACCTGTGTAGCAAATTTACTCATGGTGGTTTCTCTGGCTGGGACTCTCTCGTTTCCCTACCATGGATGACCCTGCTACTACCCATCGTAAAAAAGCATCAGCATCCTGTGTCAGTCCAATGACTCCCGCTTCACCCTTAATCACACCATTATTTTGCTCATGGCCATGATCACTTGCGATGAGGCAGAAATATTTCTCAAAGACTTGGCCATGACGAACTTGCCGTGCTGAAATTCTCGGGCAACATCAGGATGGGTGCCGTCCAGGCTACACATATCTCCCACATGAACTGGCATCCAGCGGGCGTAATGGGTGTGGTTAAGACTGAAGAACCGAGGTGTCAATTTAGTCAGTGTATCTTTGTACAAATCGAAGTCACCAGTACGCAATGAACGCACAAATGCCAAGACAAGCAGTTCCAACTCAAGGTTTGTGTACCAGTACAGGAATTGTGGACTGTCAATCTTCCGACGTGTGCACCACATGCTGAAACTCTCTGCAGGGGCTTCTATGTTGGTAGCGACATACACATCATATGCATTCTTCAAGAGAATATACAATATGCATGCAGTTACTTGATGGGCATGCGGGTTCGAGTGACATGGAATGCCTTGAGGAAAGATTCTGCTATTCCTCGAGTGGCAAGTTCTGCCTATTGAAGAGCTTCAACCCATACACTCCTTTCCAGCCAATGACCCAGGACTTTGTATCATCTCCGTGTGGAGTCCATCAAGAAGATTTACAAACTTGTCCTCTCCATACTGGTTGTCTATGGACCATTGTAGTTGTTTCAGTTTTGTGAACAGAGGCTGATCAACACAAATTACTGGAATCTGACCAGGGTTGACAAGTTGTACAGCTGCCTGAATAACATCAACAGTGACGCAGCAATGATGGGGAGCTGGCCTCCTCGGCAAAGAGAGGCAGCATGGCATTGATAGATCGTGAAAGGTTTGATTCTGCCATTCGAATGGCATGGTATGCGGCCCAAGATATGTTAGACTCACAGGATATTTCAACTGCAAGCATCTTCTCATTCTTAACATGATTCCACCAGTTGTATTCTTTTTCCATCTCTTCACTTAGTTTATCGCAGGAAGATGTTAGGTTACTAGAAGATAGTGGAACATAGACATCACCTGATGGCAGACCTGTGGGTCTTATGTCACAATAGGCCACGGGTAAGTCCAATACCCTCCTCTGTTCCTTCAAAGGTGTTATTGAATGGGTAAAACCATGGTCGTTATCACCACTTTTACTCTCGGTAGTAATGTTTTGGAACAAGGACAAGCTTGTATCGTGAAATGAACCAGTGGAGGTAGTTGAGCATGAATTGTGGTCTATTTTGTCAGTGGCTGTGATGATGAACTGACACTTCTGGATCTGGGGAGGACAGACTGTGCCAATCTGGTGATAATACTCGCAGACATTATTTCCCAATGATGTGACTATATCTGACTGACACACCAAGAGCATAAAGATAATCAACCAACTGTCGTTCTCTCGTTAATGCATCCACACCAAGCTCATCTAGTCTCAGTGTATGGCTTAGTTAGATCTGCAAGTTTGAACACTTTTATGTCTTCATCTTGTCTCCTTTCCTCTATGTAGGATATCAGCTCTGCTAATGCGATACCTTTACATGCTTCGTCACTTGAGATACATGATACATCTTGCATGGTATTTTGCCTCAAGCGCGATAAGGTCTACTGCACCTTATTTAGCCAGAAGGGCCTCGTCTTGGATCTTTTGTGCACACTTCCTCACACGGTAATCTAACTGTAATGTGCAGACTTCGTGAAGTTTTTTCTTCGCAGTTTCTGCTTTGCAACAGAAGAAACACACTAGCAACCCTTATAAAACTATGTGCAGTTTACTTTTGCCCCAGAGTGAAGATATAATTCTAAAGCTATGTATATTGAAATACATGGAATTGTTTAGATCAGCAAACATCAAATATGCTTGGTTGCTAAGGAAAATGTGTTGCCTAGCAACTGTTGCTAAGTGTATACACTTGCTCCAGGGTGGTGCTAGTTTGAAGAGCAAAGCTGCAGATATAAAAATACATTAAAATTGTTCGGAAAAATGGTTTGCAGGTATCTTACATGCCGGTTGCTGTGGGAAATATGTTGCTTAGCAACCATTGCTATGTTATTTACAGTTTGCATTGGCTCCACCTCTCAAAATGTTTAGAATGATGTGACGTACATGTGTGCTAATTTTCATGCTTTTATCATCATCTGAGCAATTTTCGCACCCATCGCCTGGACTATTATATAATGGAGTCATTTATTCCCCACACGTTCATCGATCAGTTATTGGATAGTGCACTCACCTGTGTGTCTGACAGGATCCTTAACTGCTTGCTGGAAATCTACATTGTCTGATTGGAAGAAATGATTAAAATCTTCCAATTCTGTCACAAAAGTTAACCTTTGCCCCGTGGTAGCTATTGTAAACACTGGTCCCTAGCTGAAATACAGATTAAACAAGTCATGGTAAATGACATAGCCCACCTCAATTATTTAATGAATTCGAACATTACGAATGTATTTCGAAAATGATTATGCACGGTTCACAATAACAGCTTCTGAAATTTACTGATACACAGTGTTACGTTCGAGCACGTACATGTAGTTGTGTTCAGACATATAAACTAACTGCAGCAGCGAAATATCTATCAATCGAGCTGCAACTAAGCCCAGTCAACCAACCAAGGATGTATTGACGTAATTTGTTATTAAACATTCGTACATATACGGGTTTTTGTTTTAGAAAATAATATAATTTCAGTGTTGAAATACAAATTGACTATTATTATTGAAGCCGGGACAAACATTTATTAATTATATGCTATTTAGATCGATAATTTTAGACTGTTTAGATCGATAATTATCAAGTTTTCAAACTGATATTAGACAGCCTGAGACTTGAGTCAATATTTCTGAGACCGGGAATTTTCCAATAATTATCGAGTTTTTAGATCCATATAAAACAGGCTGGGACTTGGTTTATACTCAAGATTCACAATATGTCTAATATCGATCTAAAACTAGCATGAAGCATTATTCGAATTGTTTATAGTTCAATAAAAATATCAGATAAATATCCGATAATGAAAACATCTTCAGTATCTCGCCTTCATGAGTGAAAAGCTGTGGTTTTATATGACAACATGCATATAAAACGAATAATTTTTTTCTTCTGTTGCTTTGAAATTAAATTATTCTATGTTGTTAGTTACTTGTTATACAAGGTCACTGCGTTATTGATTGCGCACTCGGCTGAAGCTAGCAGACACTCCCAGCAGACAGTGGAAGCTAGCAGACACACTAGCAGCCACAGTCTATCAGGCATAATAATGCTTTGAATCAAGGTTTATCACATCTTTTTGCATCACGTAATCACAGTTTGACATCAATATATTAATGTAAATGGCTAATATTCATTTAAACAGAGAAATTCTAACAAATGTACTCACTCCCCCTGAAAGTGTATCTCTATGTGAGTGTATATAAACACATTCCCAATATTTTTTGGGAAATATTGAGTGTGCACCTTATCGACTTATATGGTATGAAACATACATGTATTGACTACAATTTGTGATAGGTGACATTTAATAATTAGCAGACAATTTTAAAATATGGAAATCATAATTGTGGTAGAACTGCCCTATCTATTTGCTAGCAGACACCTAATTAAGTCACCTAATTACAGTAAAAATATTGAGTGTGCACCTTAACCACCTATGTGGTATGAAACATACATGTATTGACTACAATTTGTAATAGGTGACATTTAATAATTAGCAGAACAATTTTAAAATATGGAAATCATAATTGTGGTAAGAACTGCCCTATCTATTTGCTAGCAGACACTAATTAAG